AATCCACGAATTACGGTTTGAACTGCTTGACCATCCACCTTACTCACCAGATCTAGCCCCAAGCGACTTCTTTTTGTTCCCTCATCTAAAAATTGCGCTCGGAGGACAGAGATTTTCGTCAAATGAAGAGGCAATCACCTTCGTGAACAATTATTTTGCAGAGAAAAACGCCGAGTACTATTTCGACGGGTTACAGAGATGGGAGCATCGCTGGGAGAAGTGTGTAGATTTACAAGGAGACTATGTTGAAAAATAAAAAACAATTTTCAGAAAAAATGACTTGTATCTTTGTTAGGTCGGAAACTTTTCAGACCACCCTCGTATAGGGCGCAATGATAGATACCTCATAGTTATATGCTTACGGATTGTAACGACACGACATCAAAACGGTACAAATCAGGTTTCTGTATGAAAATCCTTAAAAATATGAAATAATATCAGACAGATATACATAAAATAATAATTGAATAATATATATTGAATTGCCATATACACATGCAACCATTAATTGTTAAAATGTATCGAAATATCAACATAACTTTCAAATCGTTAATTTTCGATATTTTGAAAAATGTCGGACATATCGTCTTTGTCTGAATACGTAAATAAACAATCCGTTAAATTTTTATAGCGCAGTGACATTAATGTTACGAATTTTGTTATTGGAAGTAATAGTGTCATTTGTATCTTGCTCGGATAAACATCATGGATCAATTTAAATTGATATCAAACGTTAAATTTTGTTTGGGACTAGGAATGTCAAAGGAGGAAACATTTGAAAAGATTAAAACTGTGTACAGCAATGTAGATTTTGACAGTATACATGCTTTATGTGATAATTTTTACAAGGCGAAATATGATTTGGAAATGCCATCGTCGGTTCAGCCAGACAACATCATTATGATTACGGAGAAAGTACGTGAAATGATTTGTTCTAACCCTTACTTACATGCTGAATATATCGCGGCGCACATTGGTATTACAAAGCGCTATATTTGTAATATCATAGAAGAGAAACTGCATAAACAATATGTCTGTGGACGTATCGTACCACGCGCGCTTTCGAAAGATCAAAAAAAAGATCGGATGGATTATTGCCGCGACATGATCAGAGAGTCCGATACTGATGAAAACTTTTTGAGAACTATGGTTGTCGGCAACACATGGTGTTTTGAATTTGAGGTGAAGAAGCAGAATTCTAGCTCGAACAGGTCGAAATCCAACCAATGGAACCGACTTGAAATAATGATGACTGTTTACTTCGATTTCAAGGGACTTATATACATAGAATTCTATCCTGAGGGTCAGACAATGAATGCTGACTATTATTTAGGCGTATTAACTCGCATGCTGGCGAAAATCCGTGAGATTCGGCCGCAATATAAAAAACAAGGTACTTGGTCGCTATTACAAGATAATAGTGCGACGTACAGTTCGAAGTTCATACAAAACTTTATAGCCGAAAATGGCATTACACAGCTTTACTGCCCACCATTTGCACCGGATTTATTACCATGTGACTTCTTCCTTTACTCCAAATTCAAATGGAACATGATAAGTCGATTTCACTCAATTCATGACGCTAAAAATGATTTACTTATATACATAAACGGCATTTCGGAATCAGAATGCAAGTTGTGCTTCTACAATCTGTATGACCGTTTAAATGTTTGTATTAATATAATAGGAGATTATTTGGAATAAAAAATTCATCGTCGTTAATGTCGGATGTTATTAATTCGAAATTAGCGTCGAAATTTTTTCATTTTTAAGCAACAAAAGATGCGTATATAGAACGATGTTAATATGTTATAAATTTTCTGTATAGTCAAGAACTAATAGGTTGTCCATAATTTTGTGTGAGTTTGTTAACTAATTCTTTTGTCCAACAAGAGCATTCTCCCATTGGAAAACGAATTCTTCGAAAAATGAATAAATATTTTTTAAATTTCTTTTTGATCTTTATTTATTATTGTTTGAACGTCAGTTTCTAAGTTTTTTAAGTAAAAAATAATAATTTATAATGAGAGAGAGAGAAGGAATCCATTTGACCTCTGTATCATATACACAGTTTATCGGCGACTATGATTCCGGATTTCCTTGTGGTCTGAAATTAAAAAATAAGACCTCATTTTAGTCAGTACACTTGCACCTTATTGCTCTTGTTTCTCTAGAAATCTTGTTTTTCGTATTCTTTTTCCATTCATTTTTAAAAAAGTTAACGTTATGTATAGAGTGAATTATGTAATTCGTGGCGACTAGAATCAAACTTCTTGATGCTTACTTCTTTTACCACTATTAGCATATAATGTGCAGCTGTCGTCGGCACGTAGGGAGGGATTACAAAGAAACCTGTCTTTTTCTTTTCTTACTACAAACCGTTCCCAAAACCGTTGAATTCAAATGGATAATAGCCGTTACAGGAGGCGTGTACTAGCGTGCCACAGCGAAAACCGTGCTGTGTTGAAAATTTCACAACTTTGTTAATAATTATGCAATGTATCAGTATTAAATTAATAAATCGAAGTTCTTCACAAGTTTTTAACAATAATAAAATTTCCAGAAACTTCTTTAATAACATGGAAATTTCTGTGTTACACTTAGCGAAATGTAATTTCCTCGGGAATTTCACCGCCATTCTATCCGAACGGTTTCATGATGACGCAGCATATGCGTCATTCTGCGTTTACGATACGTAGCATATGCGTCATTCTATAGTAGTCTGATTTTTTCTTATCAAGAGATGATTCGTAAAAAAAAGAACTTATAAGTAAATACGCAATATAAGATTTCTTAATACGTGATTTCGCATTGCTTTATTTGTTTTTTCTGTTCTGATAAAATTTCAGTATTGTGGCTTTATTACCCATAGGAAGAAATTTCTACGTTGTCGTCGTAATTATCTAAATAATATTTTACTGCGCACCTTTAGTGTATCTTAACTCTTTGATGATAACGAAGTATGTATACACAGAAAGACAAATATTTTTGACTGTGGTAGAGAGTCGATGCATTAGGATGACAACCTTATCGCCATTCTAACGTTACTACCTGATCGTTTCACAAAAAAGAAACCCATGGCCGTGAAAATTCCTGTACGTGTAAAAGTATTTTTGGCTGTGGTAGAAAGTCGATGCATTAGGATGACAATCTTATCGCCATTCTAACGTTACTACCTGGTCGTCTCACAAAGAAAAGGCTCATGGCCGTGAGAATTCCTGTACGTATATAGGGTGTGACGAAATACTAAGTTTCTGAGATATGGAAGAATATCTGGTAAAATTGCAAATATTTCCGTTTTTTTCGGGAAACTTTCCTTTGTTATTTTTTCCAAAGAAAGATATGGAAAATAATTAATTTTTTATTTCTGTATGTTTTCTGCTTCACATATCAAAATCTTAGAGACTGCAGAAAACTACTGTTCTTTATGTTGACATAAACTACATCACTTGCTGTAATAGCAATATAATAAAAAAATATTTTTTATATTTTTCCATTTGTTTCGGAAAAATATGAAAAATTTTAAAGAAAAAAAATTTTTCCAGAAAATTTGAACTCTTAACGAGACTACTGAAACGAATTTCAAGAGTTAATGTGCTTTACGTTATAAAAGAATCCAATATGGATCAACAAAAAGAAACAGCATAGATATTTAAAATACACATATAAAATACAATTATCTGAAAGACATAAAAAATAATAGGATATTTTTTTAAATTACTTAAAAACATTTCTCGAACGCACATGTTATCTGTTCAAACGGACATACAGAAACGTCCAAAAGTGTAATTTTAAAATTATTGTAAAAAATTACACTTAACAATATAACATCTTAGACTGACTAATATAATTTTTCAAGTATCAAGAATAAAAATTCTCTATCTGATACGTGCACGAATATGCGAGATCATGGTTGATTTCTTATTTTACAAAGCTCTCAAGGCAGTTGCAAATGGTTTTACAGTCAACAAAATATTTCTATTATCATAAGTTAAATTCTTTCTTATTTTTATTTCCAAGGTTGTCTGCGAGTATACATTTGCCCAAGGACTTTGGGCCACCCGGTACGTTGAGTATCCGCAACGGGACAAGCCAACTGCGTCAATCCGGTCGTGGAGGGGAGAATTGCACGTACTTCCTACGCCGGAACTACTTCTTCAGTCGATATCGATTATCACTTTAGAAGGCTTAATTCGTGCAGAAATTCGTTCCAAAAAAGTACTATCCACCCTAAATTGCGATATTACACGGCAAACTCGCGGAAATTTGCAACACGAGGCTAATTTTACGACGCCACGGAGGTACTACTTCGTGTGCCGTCGCGTAAGGATACACTCATTTGTTCAGTTCTCAGGTATAAATAGACCCACTCTGTGGGCGCGTGGCTCATTCCGTCCGTCGTCTCGGAACAGTGCAGACTGAATCTCGCTCGTGTATTTCGTAACCATCCAACGCGCAGTCGTCGTAGCGACACACGCGAGCTAGATACAGGTTGGTTAATTCAATATTTATTAAAATACGTAGTTATTCCGTTGGAACAAACGCGAGCTAGAATAGTTCTCAATCGCTTTGCACGAGATAAGAAATAGTAAGAATGAGAGGAAAATCAAAGCCAGAATGGTGATGTAACCAAGGAAAAGAAAGAAAGAGAGATTCGTCGACCGTCGTATAAGCTAAAGTGCGATTGTCGTAAAGAATCCACGCTCCGTGTCAGAATGACAAAAACTCTGGACCAGCCCACGTTGGGCCCATCTGATCGTACGGAGAAACTGACCAAATGGATCCACCAGGTAAGTCACAAGGTGGAGATGTGCTCGAGCAAACCTAAGCGCGACCTCAGGGTGCAGGCTATGCTTAATCACACCTTGCATAAAGCCAAGGACGAGCTGAAGTCTAAGCAGATGTTGCGAATGGCTCGATGGCAACAGGTGAAGAAGGAACTCCTCAAGGACGTGTATTATGGCAGTTGCGCGACGTACCACGCGATCGAGGTCGAACGACAGGCACAAGAGATCTTGAAAGAACAGGAGGAGATGCATCGCCGTTGGTATCAAGAGTTTGGCTTGGACGAGTTGGACAACTTCCTGCGTCAGATAAGTGAAGTGAAGACTCAGGTGAATCGCAACACGTACAAAACCACACACACAGAATCGTCAGACTTAGACAATAGATCCATATAAGTCTTGGAATCCTCATCGTCAACGAATGCATTTATAAGTCGTCTTCTACAAGTCTACTGTGATATTTTACAACCAAACGACAACTTGGGTGTGTGGACTATTCAATAAGGAAGAAAATGCACTGATACTTTAGATAAAATAGTCCCCACCTTAAGTAGTGAAACAACTACCTGTGTGGAAACAACTACCTCATAGCAGACATAAAAAGACTGAAACGATCTCAAGTGGGAAAACAGGATGATCTCATCGCTTCTCTTCATGAATCATCAAGCGTTATCTACGGAATCAACGGCTCGAAACTTTTCGTGCAGCAATTGGACAACCTAGGGACAACTTTCGAGGTCCCGTCGTTACCGCGATATATATCTGGATTTTTTTACTTACAGTCGTACCGTTTGAGATGGCTGCGGAAGATGCTGAAGAGAAAGGACTTTGGGAGCTTGGAAATGAGAATAAGAAATATCGCTGTGATGCATGTACAAGCCATATCTCCAGGACACTCGGGCCCTGATAGACTACTTGGCTTTCATCGTCTTGGTTTGTAGAACTGTATCGAAACCAAAGAAAAATCCTTGTTACTTAGAGTAAAGATACACTTAAACTATTCGCAAAGTACAAAGGAAGGATTTATGATGAATTTACAAAGAACTAAAAACATTGTTATATCGCTCAATTTCTAACCTTTTGTAAGTTTTATATAAATTTTGTAATCCACGTACATATACATCTGTAGCGTTAATCGTTAAATATTAAATTATTGTATAAGAGAAAAAGTGATAACTGAAAAACGGGTGATAATAGTTTCTCTGTTGTTTTATATATAATTAACTTTGCATGACTCTCAATTGTATAGCATATCAAGAGATTTACACTCGTAATTGTTTATCACAGTTATATAAAAAAATATTTTTTTACTTCCTATACGTATTGTGAGATTTATTATAGTACTACTAATACCATAGCAGTATTGTTATACATAATTATTCAAAATTTTCAGGGTAATTTACTTATAAATTATGTGTATAATTTTATTACTGACAATTTTTTAATATTTTATGCTATTTAGGATTCAGGTAACATAATTGCAAATTTCTTATAATAGTCAATAAAAACATTGTGATATTAATATATAACAATATTCCTTATAAATACAAAGACTGATGTAGGCAAGGAAATAAACTGTTGGAGCTGTTTAAAATAAATAAATACATTTGTAAAATAAACTAACGAAGTAAAATTATTTTTTCATAACTTCTCTATTCACCAAGATATTAATGTCATCACTACTTTTCAGTCTGGCATATACACACTAGAAAACACAACTTATTGCGAACAAGAGCTATTGGCCGCCAACGGGGACGACGCCGTCGTCGTCGTCGTCGTCGTCGTCGTCGTCGTCATCGTCGTCTGCTTAGAAAACTTGTACCTATAAAATTGCGGTGAGATAGAAAGCGAGAGGGAAGGAAATAGAGGAGAATGGAAAAATGGAGGGAGTATATTTGTGTTTCAACGGAGAGAGGTGCAAGAGGGAGGGAAAAAGTCTTTGTTTCTAGAAGCTGGTTCAACCGGCGCACAGGCAAAATTACCCCACGTGCAAGCTGTCATGATAACGAGCTCGTCTGCATGATAACCGTGACGATGAGAGGTGACTTTCATCTGGTGAGCTTCTACACTCCCACTTTAACCGAATCAGCCGCGTGTTCTCCCAGCTCCAGAACCGTTTCTGTCCGGAATAATATAGGGGATCAGGCTCTCCATGGTCCCCGTTACCCCCGGGAGTCATAGGTGCACTTCAAGTAAGATAATTCGCTATGCAAGCATGCGAACGACTTTATTCGAGAGAGTGACTGAAAGTTCTTCCTTCTATCTGGTGTAAAATATCATGTTATACCATATATATCGCCCCGCGTTGCCATAACCGTGTGTCCATAGATTGGCGATCTGTGCCACATCCGCCACGAAGAGATCACGACCAGGATAGGGCGTTAATGCGTATGTTTTAGATATTTGAAGAACATGAGAGAAACATTTGAGAGATAAAGACTGAGGAAACGGAAAATGCAAAGTGGAAAGATATAGAATAATATATGTGTACGTGAGAGCGTCTGTTGCGTGTGAGAAAAGAAACAGGTGTTAGGGTTATTTCGACTTGGTAACATTCATTTCAACTTAAGAATTGAGCTTATTTAATTTCTAATAGATGATTGTGAATCTTAATATCATTTTTCTAAAATATTGTCGAATTTCTCGATCGCGAGGGGTCTCTAAAGATTCGAGGATTCAAGAGTCCGGAGATTCGAGTATCCAGGGACTCAGGATTCTTCGCACACGTCCACGGAATCTAAACCATGCAAAGCTTTCGGAATTGAGGCACTTCGAAGTCCAGGAATCTCGGAATCCAAGATCTTGGTATTCACTGGTCTCGGTATTCAAACATAAGTCCAAATCTAAGTACGAAAAGGAAGTCAAACTTGAGGCGAGTCGAAGAATCTGCCACGGAGAGTATTACAAAGGACGAGTGTAAGAATATACAGGAGTGAATGTCTAATATATGAAAAGGATACAAAGAGCAAAAGAAGCATATTGCTATTCATGCGAATACTAGTCACACTGGGCTTTCTCTGTTTGATAACTCGGATGATAAGTACATTTATGTGTTTATATGGACTTGCATTGATATTCAGCATTTCCAATTGCTTTATAATAGGCTATAGACAACACTTAGAACAAGACAACGATCTCGGTTTGGTAACGAATTTTCAAGCATTTAACACTGAGATTACATTGAAATTCTCGATAACATACTAGGATTTTCCTTATGGTCAGGGCGGGAGGGAGGGGAGGGGGTTTGCAAATGAGACAAATCTTTTTGGCTACAGAAAGTTGCGTGCGTGTGGAAGATCTCATCAGATTCAAACAGTGGTGACTGGCGAAGAGTGCAGTTCGAGTTACTCGAGATTTTACCTAATATCAACCAGATATCACCTCAAAACATCAAAGAGAAAGAGAGAGACAGGCAGGGAAAATATGAAACACATTCTGGTGAATGTAAGAGTAATGAAGAGTAATGCAGCGTGTTGAACGCGGACGTCAAAGAAGCTTGGTTTGATGGATGGCTCGAGAGACAAAGTTTTTTTCTACATAAATTTATTTGTGCTAGTGTAACTAGCTATCGTTCCTTGTTCTATAATCATAATTCGTACTTATCTATGTTTATTGCGAATTGTTCTGTTCCGTTCTTTTTGTGTTTCACACAGCAGGCGGCAGAACGAAAGAGCTAAAACCCCCTTGGTAAATTAAAGAAACGGCACATCTCGACATCTCACTACTCGCACGTCTAATCGACAAACTGTGTAAGGCTGTAAACATTATTCGATCATCATCGGGAGGTACATGCATATCGGTCATCTTGGAGAATTCGTGAGTCGCGTGAAAAACCACTGGAGGTAACGAGAGATCGTCGACGATCCATAGCATTTGTACTCTGAAGCAGAGGTAACGTTAGAAGGGATTTCGGGGAGGGGAGGGGAGACAAAACAATGTTCTTCTGAGTCACAGGATGACACAACGCCGCTTCACACGATGACGGGGAAAAGTGTGCTTGGAGGGATTTTTTAACTACTTCAAGACAAGTTGGGAAAACCTTCTTCCAGACCGTTAGACATAACAATTGAGACAGTCGCTTTGCACTTGACGAAGTCGGGTTAGCCCTGGTGAGGTGTACCTTCATCGCAATCCACAAAACATGCAGGAAAATTTTATGAGCACGCGTTAAACCCAGGAATCTAAGCTATGAGGGCCACAGAATAGGTTGAACTTAAGGATCTAATCATCCAAGGACTCGAAAATTCAAAGGAGAATTCAAGTCTCAAAACTCAAAAATCTAAATATCCAAGTGTCTCTACGAGACTTTCTCTTCCATCCAACGACAGAATTTTCTTAGATAAATACTCTTCCTTTCAGATCTTCACTTCAAAATTTCATCATTAATCGGAACTGAATTACTTTATTGCGGAGATCCGCGTGATATTCAGAAATTTTACTTTGTAAAGGAGATATATATTTCATTATGATCACACGTCGATCGTCTGGCACACAGATTTATGTATTTATAATTATTTACTTATTTAATAAGTAAAATTTGTTCATGGTGGAACGATTTTGTATCGAGACAAAACGTATCACATGACTTCATTCGAAAGATAAATGACGAAATATTGACGAAATCTTCAAGCTCGAGGAAAGGAAATTCCTTACTACTGCATGTAGTTTTCAGAAGATCTCAACTTTAGAAGGTATTGAAAAAGAGGTATATCATATTTTATATTCATTATAATTTACCAGATAGTAAACATATAGGTATCATATAGGTCCATGTATATTTTCTGGGGTTGTGCCGAGGGAAAGGGGGAGGGAGGGGGGGACAAAACTATTTTATTTTTTCCACAGAAACCTGTTATTTGAAACCAGTATTTATTGTCGCGTCCGGAATGTGTTCTATCTACAAAATTAGAACGATTTGATTGTCGAAGACGATGTTCCTCAATGTGATACCTTATATCATGTCTCTAAATGGCAACGATTAACAAATGGACAAAAAACAGTGATTTGACAAGATGGATTTGGCACTTCAGCGGAAAAACCAGCAAGTTTTTAAGAATGTCTGTTAACACGAGGTCTTGGCAAAGTGATCGTGAACATTAAGAGCTTCAGAAGCGAGTTATGAATATATATCAGAGTACAGTAGAAACCAGGATCCAATAGGGATCATCGATCTGTAAGTCTCTTTGCAACATCTGAAATAAGCGTCTTCTGGGGAAATTGTAGTGTGAGAAGGGGGCGGGGGGAGGGTACTAATTCTGCAGGATATTCGAAGCGTTTCAGAGAGCCGCGACATAGTTAAAGTCCGGAACCTTTTATCTGGGAATCACTACCCTCATCTTAAAAAGCAGATTCGCGGAATCGTAGAAGTCATACGTATGGCCGATCGACTTCGAGGACGTGTGCTTCCTTCCATCTGCTCGTTGACGAGATCGCGGGCAGCCTTTCGAACTTTTTGTCGATATCCTGAAGCGGCTGTCCACGGCAGAGAGGCACGTGAGTTTACCCGCCTCTCTATCACCCTGCCCGCTAACGGAGTGTTTTAGAGCGGCGCGAAATGGCCGTTGAACTTGCGTCGTGATTCTACGAACCCCCCGTCGCTGGTCTTCCAACACCTGCTCGACTGTGCGCGTGCAGTCGTCCTGGTCGTTTGGTCCTTGATCTACTTTCGTTGGTCTCTGACTCGAGCTCCTCAAGATCTTCCCTACGGGCGCACGAGTTGTCTACGTTATCTACGATTCACTGTCAGCTGAGGAAAGCGTTTTCGTGGAACGGAATTGCGACGAACCGATACTTTTCAACAGGGCCATTGCAGAGACAGAGAGGATAATGCAGAGTTCCAGCAAAACAGCATTCCTTCCCTTCTAAAAAGGTATGCAAACGTTTGCATTCTATAAATTAAATATCAAAGGTATTTTTCCTTTCAGAGATATTTTTTTAATTATTATTTATTGGTTTTAAAAAATCCTATTGTCTTTTTTTTTTAAAAAGACCATGATAAATGGTCTATATCAGTGCTCAGAATTACTTGTTTTTGAAGCAATTTTCGAGACCTACGGTTACTTTCCTCCTCTTGTTTCTCCCGCTGACTTGTCTATATAAATAGAATATAACATTGAAAGTGTAGATTATAAAAATCCAAATTCACAAATTAAATATCTATAAATATCTATAAATATAGGATACGTAATTAAATTTTAAGAATTGTATTTCTTTTACATACAATTAATTTTTTAAATCAGATTTTCTCGTTCTATGTGCCAACGTTTTATTTTAAAAAGTCATGATTAATATCTTATTCTTTTGTATATTTTTGTTGTAAAATGGCATGTCTTACTAATTTTTCTCATTTTTCTTTTTTATAGAATTATTGTTCCGGACATCGCATTTGAGTGAAACATCAACTATACGTATTTCATATATATTGCATTGCGGGAAAGAAAACACTTGAAAAGAATATTGTCTAAGGGCTGCAGAGAAGGACATCGGCGGACATCATCGTGGGACATCGGCGCAGAAGAGGATCATTGTGGAGCTTCATCGCAGAAGAGGATTATTATGGAACTTCGTTGCGGATCATCGTGGGACTTCGTTGCAGATCATCGCTGCAGAAGAGGACTGAACGATTTCGTCACATTAGAATTATTATATTGTCATAGAAGATAACTATTGTGATTGCGGACTTTAACATGGCAGAAGATCATCGTGGGACTTCATCGCAGAAGAGGATCGTCATAGGACTTCGTCGCAGAAGGAGATCATCGAGAAACATCGTCGCAGAAAAGGATCATCGTGGCACTTTATTGCAGAGGAGGGTCATCGCGGGACTTCGTTGCAGAAGAGGATTATCGCGATATTTCATCGCAGAAGAGGATCATCGCAGATTTTGTATGCCGAAATTCTATTATCTGCTTATATTTCGTCGCAAGAGAAGTTTATTATGGAACATTGTTGCACAAGAAAATCATCGTACAACACTGTTGTAAAAAAAAAAATTAGTATGGGACTGTCGCAAAGGAGGAGTTTCATCGTGAAAATTACAAGAGAGCATAGTTTCGTAACTTCGTCGCAAAGGAAAATTATCATAATATTTTACTATAGGAGAGAGTCGTTATGGCGGATTTTATTACACAAAAGAATCATTCTCATAAACGAGAATCATCGATAAACATCGCAAAATCATCGTCGTACTTCAACACAAAAGAGAAATGTTGTACTTTTTCGTAGAAGAGAATCATCGTGGGATTTCGCCGTTATGGAGGATTGTCGTGTAGTTTCATCATAGAAGAGGATCGACGCATAAAAATCACAAAAAAGAATTGTCGCGTGGTTTTATCGCGAAAGAGAATCATCGAGGGACTTCGTCGCATAATAGAATTCTTAAGTAGCTTCGTCACAGGATTTCATCGCAAAAAAGGATCGTCGCGGGATCCCATCGCAGGAAAAAATCGTCGAGTAGTCTCATTGCAGGAAAAAATCGCCGAGAAACTTCGTCGCAGAAGAGGATCGTCGTGGGACTTCACTGCAGAAGAGGATTGTCGCAGAAAAGAACCATCGAATGACCAGCGCAGAAAAGGATCGTCGCGGGATTCCATTGCAGGAAAAAATCGCCGAAGGACTTCGTCGCAGAAGAGGATCGTCACGGGACTTTGCCGCAGAAGAGGATTGTCGCAGAAAAGAATCATAGAATGGCTTCATCGCGGGATTACACAAAAGAATCATTGTCATAAACGAGAATCATCGATAAACATCGCAAAATCATCGTCGTACTTCAACACAAAAGAGAAATATCGTACTTTTTCGTAGAAGAGAGTCATCGTGGGATTTCGCCGTTATGGAGGATCGTCGTGTAGTTTCATCACAGAAAAGGATCGACGCATAAAAATCACAAAAAAGCATTATCGCGTAGTTTTATCGCGAAAGAGGATCATCGCAGGACTTTGTCGTAGAAGATCATGGTATTTCATTGCAGAGGAGGGTCATCGCGGGACTTCGCAGGATAGAATTATTGAGTAGCTTCACAGGATTTCATCGCAAAAAAGAATCGTCGCGGGATTCCATCGCAGGAAAAAATCGTCGAGTAGTCTCATTGCAGGAAAAAATCGCCGAGAAATTTCGTCGCAGAAAAGGATCGTCGTGGGACTTCACTGCAGAAGAGGATTGTCGCAGAAAAGAATTATCGAATGACTTCAGCGCAGAAAAGGATCGTCGCGGGATTCCATTGCAGGAAAAAATCGCCGAGGGACTTTGTCGCAGAAGAGGATCGTCACGGGACTCTGTCGAAAAAGAGAATCGTTGTGGGACTTTGCCGCAGAAGAGGATTGTCGCAGAAAAGAATCATCGAATGGCTTCATCGCAGAAGAGGATCATCGCAGAATTCGATTGTAGGAAAGAATCACCGAGGCATTTCGTAGTGGGACTTTGCCGCAGAACAGGGATTTTATTACAGAAGAGGATCGTCGCATGATTTTGTTGCAGAAAAGGAACGAGATTTCACAATAGGAAAGAAACTGAAATATTGTAGAATTTTGAGAGATATGAATTTAATTCGTACTCATACACTCTCTCCTTATCTCTTTTAACATCATAAACGAGAACATGTAAGCGAAATGTCGTTGCACTTTTTTGTAGAAGAGAATCATCATGGGATTTTGCCGTTGTGGAAAATCGTCGTGTAGAAGAGGAGAAGAAGAGGATTTCATTGCAGAAGAAGATCGATGCATAGAAATCACAGAAAAGAATTGTCGCGTGGCTTTATCGCGAAAGAGGATCATCGCAGAACTTCGCAAGACAGGATTTTTGAGTAGCTTCGTCGCAGGATTTTTTAATATTTCTATCGCTGTATGCATCGAATATCGTCGAAATCAGTACTGCAAAATTTTAAAATACTTATTTTTTACATTATTAAAATTTTATTTAAATCATGAAATCATGAACTTTGATAAAAATATATTTTTTAAATAATATTTTACTATTAATAATATAATTCATTTTCTTCTCTTGCACAAAATGTTCTTATATAATATTTTTACAATAAAACTGACATCGTGTAACTTGAATATTCATCATCGTAGAACATTACAATATTTCGCAGTAAAATTTTCGATGTCATAAGATTCATATATATCTGAATTTCTTGAATATTATATTCTTTGTACTTGGAACTTCGGCAACATAAATATTGACCTCAATGACATCATACGATTTGGACTTCGACATCGTGGAATGTGGATCTTCGACATCGTGGGACTTGGATCTTCGACATCGTGGGACTTGGATCTTCGACATCGTGGGACTTGGATCTTCGACATCGTGGGACTTGGATCTTCGACATCGTGGGACTTGGATCTTCGACATCGTGGGACTTGGATCTTCGACATCGTGGGACTTGGATCTTCGACATCGTGGGACTTGGATCTTCGACATCGTGGGACTTGGATCTTCGACATCGTGGGACTTGGATCTTCGACATCGTGGGACTTGGATCTTCGACATCGTGGGACTTGGATCTTCGACATCGTGGGACTTGGATCTTCGACATCGTGGGACTTGGATCTTCGACATCGTGGGACTTGGATCTTCGACATCGTGGGACTTGGATCTTCGACATCGTGGGACTTGGATCTTCGACATCGTGGGACTTGGATCTTCGACATCGTGGGACTTGGATCTTCGACATCGTGGGACTTGGATCTTCGACATCGTGGGACTTGGATCTTCGACATCGTGGGACTTGGATCTTCGACATCGTGGGACTTGGATCTTCGACATCGTGGGACTTGGATCTTCGACATCGTGGGACTTGGATCTTCGACATCGTGGGACTTGGATCTTCGACATCGTGGGACTTGGATCTTCGACATCGTGGGACTTGGATCTTTGACATCGTGGGATTTGGATCTTCGACATCGTGGAACTTGGATCTTCGACATCGTGGAACTTGGATCTTCGACATCGTGGGACTTGGATCTTCGACATCGTGAGACTTGAATCTTTGACATCGCGAGACTTGGATCTTCGACATCATGGAACTTAGATCTTCTATATCATGGGATTTGGATCTTCAACGTTGTGTAATTTGAATCTTCAATATCGCAAGCATATAAATTTCTATTAATCCAAAATTTGCAGCTTCAACATCGTGGGACTTACATTCAAATTTATGGTATTTGAACCTTGTTCACACATTTGAATTAGACTTTTCAATATTACAGGATTTTAGGAATAATTATATTAATGCAAGCTTACATATAATTAATTCTTACTGCGATTACATCATGGAGTTCGTATTATGACATTAAATGAAGATTTACATAAGTGAAACTAAAGTTTTAAAATATTATAATTTATTTGCTTATATAAAATTTTCTTATATTTTATAGTTACACGTAAGGAAAAGAATATGAAGTATAATCATAAAAACTTTATTAAAAATAGCATGTTATGAAGAACTTTATAAATTTACGTTAATAAATTTTTTTATATCTGTATATATATATATATATATAAAATATTTTTATATATTTTTATATTTAAAAATCTTAATGTTTCTCATGATCATCGTTAAATTATTATGATGTATTAATGCGTAATATATTTTTAACTTTCACTTTTACAGATATTCATTTCATATATTTATTGCATATTCTTTCTTGTATTCTGAAGAAATAAAATAAAAGAATGTTGAAAAGTTAAGATTACGTTTCACGATTGTATTTCATCACCTGCATTTCTAAACAAATAACTTTAGAATAAAAACTTTAATAAAATGATAAGTTTAGAATAAAAAGTTTAAATAACTTAAGAATAAAAACAATTTACAAGTAAAAATAGTGACTGGTATTTATTAAAGTTGTATCAAGATACACACTTTTGCCATTATTATAATAATGCCATAATTCAACGTTAACACATTGATTGTCGCACTTTCATAGATTGTACAAAAACCGAACTGATAATTAAATTTATGATATATACGAAAAATAAATGTAACTCCCAATGCACAGACTTTTTATCTCATTTTATTAGCGCTTTATGAATCGCACAATCAAATTTTTAGATACAAAAATTATACTTTATTTAACAAGACGCAATAGTATAATAATGTTGGTCACCGGTAACCATCACGGTAGTCAATGTGTTAACTGCAGATTTATAATCTTTATACTCTACGACTTCTCATACGTACATCACATTTTTACAATATGTACAACGTATATATACAAAAGCAATCATTCTCAGCATTTACCGACCCGTACAAGCATTCTTATGTTTTGACTCATAAATAAAATCACATGAAACCACTCAGCGAATGCTGCCATGGTTATAAAATTAATCTCTCACAAGCCAGCCTAACAACACGAAGGTTCAAGGGATATCCAAAGATTATCTACGGAACGTCTAAAACAAATATTAATAACGTAAAATATCCAACGTGTCTTCACCGCTACGTATTTTATATCCCCGAATATTCGTATTGTTGCTCGAATAAGTTCGACCACCCCGACAAAATAAAAATAAAAACTGCCAGTCTTTTAGGGTTTTATCTTATATGAAGAACTTCGTTATTTTAATAATCTGTATCGGTAAATTTTGTCAAATTATAGCATGAATGAGAAATGCACATAATTTCACGAAAATATATAGTATACTTTATCTTAAATATATAGTATACTTTAATAGGTTTATATACATACTTATATTATTTGTATACTTATATTATTGTTATATTAATTATAACTTGCAAAATTAATATTTTATTACACAAATTAAAACGGTTGATAACGTCACCGTTTTCCAATTACCTCATGCGTATGGAGTACTGCTACTTTTCATATATTAATATTTTCTCAAGACTGGCGGTCTTTACTCTTACCACGTCAGTAGTTCAACCGAAAATTCCTCAAGCGACGTTAGCATCCTGTTTGATGCCTTGGAAAGGAGTCTGCATCCTGACAGGCTTGCTGGGCGCAGCGAGAAGCCTGCTCCAAGCTCGGCAGGTTTTACCAGACCAGACCCACATGCCGGAAGTAACGCCAACCACGAGCGACAAGAAGAGCCTGAGGAGAGCTACTTCGAGGCCGGCAGCTCGATAGACCGGGCCTGGTGCGCAATTTTGGGTAGCGCGGCAGTCCAACGCAGCCAGTAACGCCAGTTTCCGCCATCGCGGCCTCACCGACGATTCGTGTAAGACGCAGATGAGGCCACCCAGTGCCGGCAACGCGTACAGTAGCGCGAAGATACCCAACCGGGTCATTAGACGCTCCAACTTCGTGGCACTACGGCCAGCGCAACGCACGGCTCTTCGAACGCGAACCAGCGCGCTTCCAGCAATGCTGCCGAACACACAACCCAGCAGCAATAATGCGGCGTGCGGTATCACCTCCAGCCAAAGCGCCGACTCGTCAGAGATCTGGCATAGCCCGGTCAGCTCGTCCGCCACCACGTTGCGTGACAACAGGCTTCCTGGACAGAGATAAGAAAATGAGAAGTGTCATTATGATAGAAAATTAATAACTAGCATCTTTATTTTAGAGATTCTCAAGAAGATATCGAGAAGATTTCTCTCTCTCTGTTGTAACTTTACCTCCTGTAAAGAGTACTGGAAGAATCCACGCGGCTGCATGAAGATAAGATGCGATGTTGTGAAGAGCCTCGCTGCTCCACTCGTTCCTGGCGCTCAACAGCCAGCAACCGCAAAGAACTGCCCACCATGTGCTGCTGGCTAGTCCCAGATAGTACCTGACCAACCACCAAATTGTACAGGGAACACTCTTCAGGCCATCACGAACCTATCGATGAAGAAACGCTTATTAACAGGCGAAATAATTAAAAAACTTTTTTAGCGGCGATAACATCTACTCTTGATGATGAATATTAAACCGGTTACTAGTTCACGACCATTTAAGATTTACTTTCTCGTGAAAAAAAAGCAGCATTTAAATATAGTGTATCGACCACTTACGGGAACGTAGCTTGTTCCATCGATCTGAATAGCGCAGCTGAGATTTTCAGCGCCCACGACACCTCGGACGATGTATGCCACGGAGAGAAGATTGTAGCAGAGAGCCAAGAAGACTATCGGCCTCTCGGGATAGCGAAACCTAGACGGCTCGACCCAGAAGGTCAGCAAAGTGAAGGAAGTCGACAGGAAGCACAGCCATGCCCAGCCGGTCATCCAACGCTCGGCGAACCTCTTGTCCTCCGCGCGATAGTAGGCGTCGGTGCCGCAGCGTGGTGCACACGAGATCTGAAGCAGCCGTGTGAGATAATCGTTGAGAAAATGTTGATTTATTTTCTGATTATTCTCCACTCATCGACTGCGTTCTAACCGTGTTCACTTCAGGGATCTGCACAAAGGGCGGAGGGCACTGGTGATGATGTTGCTGCTGCTCTTGCGTGGAGATCTGCAGCGGCTGCTCGTGCACGATCGGCCACTGTTGTTGCACGCTTGGCAGTACCGGCAAACTGGTATCGTCCAATGTATCATCCGGTGATTTTACACAGAGTACGTTATCTGCAACAAAGGTCAAAAAGATATTTTTTTGTAAAGAACAAAAATATTTTTATACACAAAAAATGAAGATATATATCTCTATGTAAAGTTCTTTTTTACAGAAGGCTCTGTGTACACAGTGGAGTGCGCAAATGGAGTGTCCTTCTCGGTATGGAAAGTCGTAGAAAGGTGAAAGTATCTCGTCTATTCTTATACACTCAATAGAACTCCATTTATGCGCTCCACGTACATATGCGCTGTAAAAAAATTGGAAAATTAATGAGTAGAGTCATAAATCGCTTCTGCCGTCTACCAAAAGAAATTAGTTACTCTCGTGTATAACTCGTGTTGATTCAGTGTTGAACGTAGGTTTAAAATGCCGTCTCGATTCGATGAGATGTAGATTATCGACTACTGATTGACTAGCTGGTGCAGTGATAAATGGATGCTCACCCTGATTCGGGAAGCGGTCGCAGTCCAGCATATGCGGCCATGGAAGCGTGAGGGTGGTTAACGCCGGTTCGCAATCTCTCCTTACGGAAAGGCAGAGGGACTTGCAGACCGGTATTTGTATAGTCACATGTTCCGAGCAGACCGGCGCGAAAACGGCACATAAGAAGAGCCGAAGATGTCTCGAGCAGTTGTAGTGGACCAGTGGCATGAAAGTCGTCAGCTGCAAACAAATGCGTCATTAAAAACATAATTGAAAACAACCTGGCAAAAATGTGCGTATATACTTTTTTAAATTTCTTGGAGTAAAATTTCACTCGAAGAGTAGAACGATCGTTCTCGAGTGGATATTTTCATTCGAAATGAAAGAGTGAATCTGGTATACAGTCAAATGATTAGAAGCTGCAACACTACTTTTATCTCGTTCAACTTCACAACGCATTCCATAGAAAAATGTATATATATATCTCCTGAGGATTATTAAAAAATAAATTCTCTCTATCGGATACGTTGCGAGATATTAATAAAATATTTCAATCTTTAATCATCCAATTGTATTACACACTAAAAAAGAAAATTTGCTTGGATAAACAGGTTTCTGATGAAATATGAATAATTCTGAAATTCCAATTGAAATTATTAAAATTATGTTTAAGTTAGAAATCTTGGTGATTTAGACTGAATTCCGACGACTTCAACCGAAATTTCGACAGTACGTTATAAATAAGTGTATATAGATATATATACACATGTTATACACACAAGTTCTCTGTGAAATATTTTGCTCGCCTTCACCTGTTAAAAATTTACTTCCCCATGAGCCTTCGATTTTCAATCATCTCTCATTCGAAAACCCGATCGTATTTCATCGATTACTCCGATCGCTCGCAATCGCTACTGCTCGCTGCGAAGAGTACTTGACGTCGTTGATGGTACATCCATTTATCAAACTTGCCAAGAACACATGCTCCATCATCCCACATCCTGTAGATCTTATACCGTCCGCGGGATTCTCCACGTTTCGGATGAGCCTTCGCGTTTTTCTAAATTCTAAACACGCAAGGCGAAGACAACAACACGAAGGAAGATGAAGAAAGAGAGAGAGAGAGAGAGAGAGAACGAGAGAGGGTAATGCACCTAACGGGGCGGGGAGGAGACGCTTCGCTTCCATGAGATATAACGAGCGGTGGGCATCGGGGGTAATTATCCCGCCCATTCTTCCCGCCTCAATCCCGATAGATCTTCGCACGTCCTCGCCGGGGCCCGCGCGCTGCTGCGGCCCACCGGGCCCATCTCTCCCTCTGCTGGCCCCCCTTACCTGTCGCCCCCCTGGCCCCTCTCGCCCTCTAGATTCGCCCATTACGGGCGAACCCGATGCTCTTCTCTTCCACGGCGCTCCCAAATTATAGCCTCATGAAATTACGTGGTAACCCGTAACGCCGGAGCCCTCTGCCGCTTCGTCCCCCCCCCCCTCATTCTCCTCCTCTCCCTACTCATCGTGATGCTCTCTTCGGGTTCTCTTCTCACCGATCAAGGTGGACCAGCAGCGCGGCCGGGAGGCAACAACACGAGGAGAGAAAGAGAACGAGAGAGAAAGAGGGAGGAGAGAAACCCCGTCTTGAAATCGCACGCGGATTATTTCTATTCCTCGCGTACGGTAGACAACCGATCAATAATCGAAGCTGGCAAAGGGACTGATATTTCCGACGCAGCTGTCTTAATATTTTCTGCGGGATCGCGCTTCAAGTCCCGGCAGGACCGATAATTGAACTCGTCGAAACTACATCGCTGTCGCGGTATGCGTTTGTTGTCATTCTTCTTCTTTCTTTTTTTATAATCGGATCTCGCGTCGCGAATCCCGAGAGCGAGGGAGAGCGCGAAAGGGCGACACGCCGCAGAAGAAATCGGAGCAGACCGGTTCGTTCATTATTTCGCATTCTTCTCCTCCGGGAATGACCAGAAGAAGACGGGAGTAGAAAACGGCGCGTTCTCTCCTTTCCGCCTGTATCTCCCGTCTCCCTCCCCCTCACCCTCCCTTACGCATCATGGTCCCCTTCGAGGCATTTTCAAAGCGGCTTGACAGACAACTCACGGATAGAAGAAGAGACAGACAGACGGATGAACGGAGCCGACTTACTTCTTATTGCAGTCCGCTCCCTTTTCCTTCCCGCTTTTGTCCTTACGCGGCGCGCTCGTTCCGCCTCGATCGAGTCATTGTGAGGATCCTTTGTAGGACTGCATGTATATTTATGCGACGTGACGCATAAATCGCCAAGACGCGATGTCGCAAACCGAGGAGGGATACTTTTTGCGAGGGGGTGCGATCCCGGCCTCGCTTTCGGAGCTTTTTGCTTCCTGCTGTCGTCTATCGTCTCCGCGGTGAAATGCAATAAATCAAATGTCGTTCGTGCTCGGACAATGAATTCCCATATCTTGGAGATATCGAGTCTTTGGAAAAATTTAGACCTTTTTCTTTACGGTTTTTCCGGAAAATATTTTACACTGCGTGTTTTAAAATAAGAAATGGTGACAAAGTTAGAGCTATAAAATTTTCCCAGACAATCGGCACGATTATTTAGCTCTGAAGCTTTGTGAATGCCGAAATTGCGTGTCTTAAAAATCCTTAATTTTCACGAAGAATTTGGAATTGCTGAATTATTGAAAGTTAAATAAATTATTTGAAAGTTCTAAATTTAAAACTTTTTTTTTATCAAATATTATATATTTAAATTTTATTTTAAATTAAATTTAAATATATGGTATATATATGTGTACCGAAAACTTTCGTGATTAAATATTAAAGTTCTTCTGATTTATTTAAACTATTGTATTCTTTTGTAATTCACAGCAAGTACAAATTAGATGTATTTTGTATTTTATTTTTCAAAATTATTTAATTAAAGTAAATAGCAATAAGGAAAAAAAAATTTAGATGTTTATTAGTAAAAGAAAACATTCTAATGATAATCACGCAGTCATTTTGCATTACTACTGAAGAGGTTACTCTTTTAAATTAAACATATTTGATATTGAAAATTCTATTTTAGAGAGAGAGAGAGAGAGAGAGAGAGAGAGAGAGATTTAAAATTAAAAAAATTAAAAATAAAATAAAAATTACATGTAACCCGGAGTGTTATCGACATTCGATTATTTTTTTTGTACTTTTTTATATTTTTTATATAAAGCCCGGGTACTTTAAATCGTGAGCAATTTAAAATTTCGGCGCGAATTGAAGTTTAACCAACGTTTAGTATCTTCGAGATATCGCACTTGAAGGGCTCGGGACGAGGAGAATGACCAAGCGCGCCCTGCAATTTGCCGCCTTCCGGGAACGACGGCATGTGATTGGCGGTGGCGCCTTTCTTAGGATCATCGAGGCTTGGAGGAGCCATCAGCTCGCGAAACGTGTTCGAGCTAATCCCTCTGTAATTGTCCTGACTAGCAGGATGTCGACTAGCTGGTTCCGAGGAACGATCAGTCGCGCAAGTTTCGGTGTGTTTTGAACGTTTCGGGTCTGCGAATCTCAACTCACATTCTCTGCACATTCGCGAATTCTGTGAGAATTTTTATTCTAACAAACTCTTCAGATCACTTAAATTACTCTTCTTTTCTTTATGAGTAATACAATTATGGTTTTATTTTCATAACTTTGAAACTTTCTGGAAGACTTTCTACGAATTATGGAAATGTTAAGTGTCACTCGATTCGATCGAATTTCTTTCGCGTTAAATATTTCATCGTGGAAGACTCGTTGGGCTCTTTTTCGACACTCTCCAATTTCGAAAAGTCGAAGTCGAGAGTCTAAAAATCCGTCTTGGAAAACCCGAGAGCTCCATATAATGTAAAAGTCATGTTGTACCGGAGGCATTTACATTTAAATTTTTCTTTTATAGGGCCAAGATAATTTATACTTCCTCGGGTATTATCGAGCGTCGGATGCAAATTTCGTAGATGAATGCGTCGAGAGATCAGTCGGATAAAACGACCTCGTTAATTGCGCAAGAGGCTGCAGATGTCGATACGCTGTTCCCGGGGAGAGCGCACTCCCGCGATTCCTCCGCGTTCGATCGCATCGGCGAAGAACGTAACCTCCTTTCTCTTTCGAGTCTTCTTTCGAAGAACAACGAAAGTTTAGTTCCACAGACCGTAACGAGCAAGAGGATTACATGCAGAATCTCCGTGCAAAAAGCTCAAAGTATGCAACCGCATCGTGGAATGCTTTGTGAAAAATCGACGGCAAACTGTTGAATCGGAAGCTTCGATCGAATTGGGAAGCTACATATGCAAAATAGCCGATTGTCACAACACATGAACGATTGCGACCGGTTGAAACAATCTTGCAACTTCCCAGACAGGTGTAAATTTGGCGACAACTCTATTAGGTAATTTGTAAAGGTTGCATCTCTCAGAAGTGGTTTATATAGTACACATATTTATCATACTGAATGACAAAATAGAAATACGAAAGAAATACGAAAATATACACGGCAGATATATTATAATTTTTTTATATAAATTCTGATATTATATTAAGAAGAATATTTTATATAGAATATTCTAATTAAAATTTCTAAGTAAAATTTCTATCATCAATTGTCTCGCGTCGTGGTAATTATAAATCTGTCTGGGTTAGGACGCAGCTTGCGCGGAGCGCTGCGAACGCAGTCGACAAGACTTTAATTTCGAAAAGCGGCGGTTCGTGAAGCCCCAAGGACTGCGGAACAGCACTTTTACGAGCGACGTTGGTGTACGCGCGTGACGACTTACACACACACGTGTGTTTAATGGTATCACCGACGGATACCAAGCTCGTGTAAGAGTCGTCGATGACGCGGGGAATGAGACGGGAGGGACGCGAACGGGGAGAACGAAGGAGGAAGAACGTGAAGTTCAGGGGGAAGGGGGGAGAGGGACAGCGGGGGGGAGAAAACGGAGAACGATAGCGGCGTCCTTTGAGCTCGATGCGTACTCCGACGACCACCGCGGTGCCGTCCGCGTTATCTCGAGGGCCTCGTCATACCATTTATGAGACAAACGTTACCCCGATACGCTCCGCGGAAATGATAATGCGAGAAAAAATTCTGTGGGATCGATCGCGACAATTGGGAAAAAAGAGACCGGAATTCGAAGACGCCCGGAGACTTTTTGACTTTCTGAAATTGGAGAAGGTCGGAGGAACCAGACGAGTTTTCTCTCACACAAACTATTCAACCCGATGAAAATTCAATTAAACTATTGTTGAGTGACATATGAGATTTCCGTAGATCGTGGAAAATATTTTGGAAAATTTGAAAAACATGAAGATCTCGCCAGACGAAAGTTTTTCGAGGGATTTTTCACAATTCGGAAATACGTTTAACCCTTTATGGTCCTGTTCTATCACGATATTTACACAGATAGCAAAAACTTCTAAACACTATCTTGAAAGCTTATTTCAAACGACTTTTCAAGTTGTTCTCAAGATGTCTTAGAAATTTCTGTATTTGATACATATGTCGAATCTACTTCGACATCCTAATTGACTCCATAAACCAGTTTCTTAATCATTAATCCATTTGCATCATTAAAAGACTGAGAAATATGTGCATATCACTGAATTTAGTCGACATTGAATGCAATAAAACTGATAAAATCGGATAATTCTTGTAATTCGATTTAGCTTTAACTACATAGCCGTTTCCATGATAATGACCAGGCAAAATGAACTGATATACTCGTTCCTGATGCAAATGGGTGTTAGTAATATATTCAATCTAAATACATTATTAATGCAAATGTATGTTATCGCATTAGTCAAATGCTGAGATATTGAAATAAGCGCGAGCTACACAAAATCTCCGTGAAATCAGTCACTTTTTATGAGTCTTTCGGCAAAAAAAGCCGAAAACAATTCGAAACAGATATTGAAGGTACTGATGGTAGATAAGCAGCAAGAAGTATAAGCTACTAAAGAGCGATGTTTCAATGGACATTTCATCCTCCCGCTACACACAGAAAAATACATACTGCACTCAAGTAAATGTTATTGCTTGTTTCGAATATATTACAAGTTTATATATCAGCAGATCTATCACAACTTCGTCATAAAAATCAAATATGTTCATAATATATCAGTTGAACAGTACAATTAAGAACATGAAATTAAAACAAAAATTCAGTTTGCTCGACGCAAAGTCGAACAAACTTTTTCCTTTATAAAGAGAGAGTTTTATAATATTCTTATCGAGAGAATAAATACTTCTTTTGAGTACACGGCACAACGAGTCTTTCTCAAGTTTGCGATGAGTATTTTAGGACTGTTGTCAAGAAAATATTCTTCATTGAAGACACTCATTACTTGAAAGTTGTATTATATTTTTTTTCTGTGTAGCCTGCGGTTCTTCCTGAAAAGAACTGGAACCGGGAAAGGGTTAACGCACTGTATTTTCGTTTGACTTTCCACAATAATCGACTCGAGCGGGCATCGTTTCATTCGACCGGCCTTTTCTCCCTCGGCGCGGCTACAACGAAAGAGATCGCGACCGCATCTCACCGATCATAATCGCGAGTAATTGCAGGTATATGAATTCATACCTGCGTCGCGCCGTATTATGCTCGCATTAAGTCATAAAGGCACTAAAGCGCACTCGCGTGTAATTGCAAGCCGCGCCGCGGCGCGTCTGCGTTAAATTACAGATGCGTTCAATTATGAAGGCAAACCGAATTGCAATTTAAGCGCCTGGTACCTGGCGACTGCATGCAATTACGCGCGTGTGCGCACGCACGCACTTTAGATTAATGTAGTAAAATATCAGTTTTATTATTATGATGCGTTCGATCGAGGATACGAATGTCCGATAGCAGATAGCTTCGCGCACATGCAAGATCACATTAACTTGCAACTCGATTAATTGCGTAACCGCGTGACTGTGTTGCGACACGACGCATTCTCCCGAGCGTGCTCTTGGAGAGTGTGAATTTTTACAAGTTCCCAAATCCCGCGTGTCGAATGGAGGCACACTTTTCGAAGCTTCGAGTTCTTTATGAGAGATCCCGTTGAAGCGTAATTAAAACGAATTGTTTGAGATTATCGTTGATTATCGTTTAATGCATCCGTTTATTTTTCTTTTACTTGAATCAAATGGATTACCCATTTATGAATAAAAAGAAAAAAAAAAATATATATATATGTGTACAAATATATTATTGTGTATTGTAGCATTAATGAAATACTAAGATATTTAAATACACGTGAATTACGTGTTACTGTCGCGAAGTAAGTTATACGAATTGTGGTCGAGAAAAAAAGTCGAAAACAACTCAGGCCGCAGAAGATTAGTTTAATTCGGCTATTTTCGATGTCGTTATCTTTTTCAGTTTCGTTCACGTGAGCCCAATTCGTCGCGAAATTCGCACCGCACAAGTCTCCTGTACGTGTGCTTTCGTATAATCCGGAGGGAGAGAGAGAGAGAATCTAAGAACTTCAAGTTTCCCTCGCGCACGATTCAACATCATCGTCATTCCCGGCTTCGAGTGGGCTCATCGCGTGAAAAGCGCATATCAAATGCATCCGCCGACGATGTTCCCACATACAGGCGCGTGTATACACCTTTGTGTGCGCGTACGCGCGCACACACACGCACGCACATACATTCACGTGTGCAGGGGGAACGCAGCTGCTACAAAAATACGCGGTTTTGCTCGTCAGGGCTATCTCGCTTCGAGCGGCTTCAAAGGAAGCCGCCTTAACGTTATTACGATAATAAAACTGAGCGAGCGAGAGTGAACCGTTGGCTATAAATACCTCTCTTTCTCTGCGTCATGCGCGCATGTGTGCGCGGGTACGCGTGCGTGTGTGGGTGTGCGTGAGACGCGTAACGCGTGCGAGCGGCGGTGCCCTCTCGAGAGTTCTCTACGGTGTCTCCATGCTAACATCACTTATCTAAAATCGCACCGAAGAAGCTTACTTGCATTATTTTTAAGACGGAAGTTCCCTCCTTCTCCACTTCTCTCTTCTTATTTTCAACGCAAAATTAATTAACTGATCTACTTCCACGAGTTAATTTATTCACATACATTTCTGCGAGCTTTTTAATTCAACTTTTCAAATAAAATTGGTTAAAATTAAAGATGGAATTTGGTGGATTTCTTTCTTTTTTGATTGTATTTTTATAATTTCTCAAATTTTTATAATATCTCATGATTCTGTAGAATATTGAGATACAATCAACAGAAACAATTCTACAGATATTACAAAAAATTTAAAGAGAATGAAATGGAATGCGTAGAGTTTCTCAAAACCCACTTTTTCGACGGCGAATTAAGTTAAAATTCATCTTCGTTCTGACAACTGCACCTCGACGTAATCGGTCTTCTCTTTACGTCTTATTTCGCGCGTCCAGAAAACGTTTTGGAAAGGGGTCGGCTGGCTATGTCGGGCTATCAATGGGATCTACGGCGCAGAAAGAACAAGGTCAAGAACCCGCAGTTTCGAGTTACCTACGAATAGCGTCGTCGACCGCTCCGACGTCTCTGACTATTAGCAAGTCGGTTCCGCCATTTTGCGGCTAATTAGTCGCGGTGGCATTCCGCGGAAGCGAATTCTAAGCGGAAGCGCGGAACGTCCAACGATCGATGGACCCGACGATCTCCGCGGAGAGCGGAGGGACGAGAAATTGGCTTCTAATTACGTCTCCTGCGGAGAGCACCGTATATATCTCCGGCCTGGAGAAAAAGGGACCGGTATTCTCCCTTCGCTCCCTCCGTCCCTCCCTGCCGCCCTCTCTCCCTCGGCCGGCCGCTGTTCTGTAACGTCGCGGTTCAGCGACTTTGATTCGCCTTATCGCTGCTAATGAGAGCCGGTCGCGCGTTCTTTGATCTCCGATCGCTTATTAACGCTCGATGCGCCGTGAAATACCCCCCCTCCGACCCTTTCACTCCCTCATACCTCTCCGCCGAGGCCCAAGGATTATTCTAAGGTTACAGCGTGCGTTTGATTTCATTGTGTTGTCCCGTCCCAATTACGACTCGCTCGAGAGATAAGGGATACCTCGTGAATATCTGTACGATAAATGCCATAAATGTCTTAGCTTTGAAGCGCGATACCGATATACGTCGTGGCTGTTTATAGCGCGGGAAAAAGTGCAGGTATCGATGATCCCGGCGTATGACAGCTAGCTAATGTGTGTGTGTGTGTGTGTGTGTGTCGCATATGATACGATTCGTAAAGTCGAAGGGATCACGGCGATCTACGATTATCAATAGCCGCTCCAATTCAGTCACTTTGATGTTGACGAAACATCAAGTCGACGCGAAAGAACCGCCACTTTTCTGCCAAATTCACGTACACTGTGAGAAAAAATATCTGAGAAATAAAAAATATTTACTCAGAGGATACTAACAGTATATTTACTTGTATCAATATAAGATAATTCTCGAATAAGAAAAAATATTTTCTTAAAACTTCAGCTTCTTATGAAAGCGATTCTTTATTATGTTCGGAAAGAGTTTAGATTTAGATAAATATATTCTTAGTATCCACCAAATAAATATTTACTATTTTTTAGATATTTTTTCTCTCGATGAGTTTGGTTTGGGGTTTAAAATGGAAGCAGGAAGAATCTTCGTTAAAGATGCTTGAAACTATACTACAGATTCTTCGAAATTGGATAATTTCATTTTCTACCTTACTTGACAAACGTGACAAATCTTTCGCGCCAACCCGATGACACAATACGACACATTTGAAACGTGAGAAGCCGATTTATGGCCTGAAGCTCTCTTCCAAATGCGTGTGACAAGCGATAATTATAACTTATCACTTAAACTCACGTTCGTTTTAAAGCGACACATGCCAAGTGCCAGCTGTCAATTGCTACTCAACGACGCCCGCCTGCTCTCTGCAAACACGAGCCCGTCGTACGCAGGTACGATTTCTCAAAACACTCTTGCGTACGATAAATAGACATGGCGATGAAACCGTCATAAAAACTAAAGCCAAACCCCGCCCGAGGAAGGAGGTCAGTATTTCAAGAGAGAAACCAGACTCACCCCTCGCTCAGCCTGCACTTGATCCACGTGGCCCATGAAGTTCGGCATCGCCGTCAAGTTGTAGCGCAGTCCTCTGCAGAAGGACACGCTGAGCCGTTCGCACTTGACTGCCACCTTCTGACTTTCGGGCTTGACGTTCCATCCTTGCACGAGGCATGCCGCCGCCACCGCCAGCAGGATCAGCTCACGCAGCATCATCGTCTTCAGTGTCGCTGACATTCACATTTTACTCCGTATGGTCCATGCATAGCAATAACAATGCGTGTACAATGAGCCTGCTCTCGTCCTGCACTCTTCTTCAATCGGCACTCGCGGCGACGTTGAATCCACTCACGCAATCGCGACGCGCAATCTCCCTTCTTAAAATGTCCGTGCGCGTCGATGGTCGACGGCCGACTGGCGATCTCGAGGACTCACTCGGCCACGTAGTGCGCGCGCGCGCGCGCGCTCACCTTCTCCACTTTTTGCCGCCGCGCCGTTGCGTCGCCGCCGCGGCGGGCCCTATTATTTCGGCCCGACCGCCGAGGGATCATGGGACTGATCCCGCAGGCGTAATTAGGAACAAAGGGAGCGCCGGATGCTACGCTACCTCGACTCGGTGTGTTTCTGTCACTTTCTTGGAAACGCGATGGCTCGAGCGACAACCTGTCGCTCTCTTCGTTGGGAATTCTTCTTGATATGACCGATGTCGAGAGAGGTCGTTCAGAAGAGATTTTAATATATGTGCACACGTCCAGGAAATCTAATGTTTATAGTGATGTCGACCTTGTAATCTCTAGGATTTAGACTCGACAAATCGTTGGGTCTCTAAGTCCCTCCAGAAATCCTTTCCGAATATAATAGGATTTCTTTGTGTTAAGCTGCAATTGAAATTGAAATGATTAAATTAAGAATAAAAGGACTCTTAGAATATACAATCAACTACAAATTAAACTTATGGACAAATAAGACGCTGCAGTGAGAAAACAAATTTATTCGCGGATATAAAGTTTATTTTAGTGAAATAAAGTTTATTTCTGTGAATAAAATTTATGTCCTACGAACAAATTTTGAAATATTCCTTTTTCAGTGTGATGAAGGGATATAAATGTAATAAGAGATATTGTGTTATAATAAACAAATAAATTATAATAAAACAATAAAAAATAACAAAATTAATAAAAAATAATAAAATTGAAGCAATTGCTTACTCAACAGACATAATAAATCTAGCAACATTACGAGGCAATATACAACGAATTGTGTTGACGTGAAATTATTAAATTAAAAATGAAATAAAAAATTAATGGATTAGTTCGCGCACGCGATATATTATAATATAATTTCTCGAGATATAATCTTTCGTAGATTTTAGAATTGATGATTCCGCGACATTAAAATTTCGACATGTGTATCGCAGAATGTTATAAAGTACCGTTTCAATTAATCTTATACTTATTTCTTCTTTCAATCTTTTTGCAAGATGCATAGAATCGATTCCGAAGAAATGGATTTTTTGGCTGGCTGTGCACGCACGAGGAAATTGTGATTGCCCAGATGGGCCTTGGATCGGATTTCAACCCTCTCAAGCCCTTCGTTCCCTTCCTCCTTGCCTTCCTCGTTTCGCCGACAACAAGTCTTTTGTGCGAATTTCATTACGCTGACACAATAGCGGCGTCTGGCATCCGTCGTGCTCTCGTTCCGGGGTGAACGAGACTCAGAGTACCGCGAGTGGGTTTTCATAAATCCCCCGGTACCGTTTCGACGAGTCCTTGAAACTCCGCGCGTAATACGCATTGGATCCTCAGGGTGGCTTTCAAAAAAGATCTCTGAAAAGGTCCGATTCATTAGATATCTTTTTTGCAGGCCTCTTTTGTCCGATATGGTAAATTAATTAATTTGCGAAGAGAGAGATCTAACATAATTATAACACAATAAGTGATACAACATAATTTTTCAAGTGTAACTTTCTGCTCTCGCAGATTAGAGAATTGATTTCGCCGCGTTAAGATTTTACTGTGTGAAAGACCGTTATTTTGCAAAGATTGTATTCAAACTTAAATAGAAAAAAATGCAATCTAAATATTCATAATTAGCTGAAACGAGAATTTTTCGCTACGTTACTAGACGGATTTGAGAAACGTGGCTTTGATCGAATCACAAACAGGACCCAGTATTTTATTCGAAAAGCGTAGGGTGGATTCCGGACGGCGCGGCGGCGAGTCGGCGGGTCGTTATGGGCCCGCCATAATGCGTGTTAACACGATTTCGGGCTTTCCACGACCAGTCCTTTTGGGCCTTTTTCGGCCGAGTCGACGCGGTCTGTTACGCCCATTGAAGGACGACGTTGGGTATCTCAGCGCGGAGGCCGCGCGAAACATAGAATAAAGAAACCTACAATGAGACAGGTTGGGTCCCGGCTTCCTTTGACGGGGCCCGGCCACGCCGTCTTATTTTCCCCTCGCACGCAAAAGTGCTAATTATGCGTTTTGTACGTCGCGCGCGCGCGCGCGTTCCTTCTCCTCGCAGCTCTGTCTACTATCTAATATCCTTCTCGTGTCCCTCTGTGTGTTGCAACGTTATAATGCGAATTGTTATTGTTAAAGTAATGAAGCAATTGTCGATGCGACTCAAATCAAGATAAAAGTCATCACTGAAATATCTCCGCGAGATCAAATTTAAATATATTTCCAAATTTTCTCTACAGTGAGATCTCATTGAAAACAAGTGAAAATTCAATCGAAAGAAAAACATCGCCACTCGGAATTGAAGGAATTGAAAGAATATTTAACTTAGCCCTAAAACCCGAAACATGAGTATAACATTTACCTAGACCAACTTAACATGAACAGATAGAAATACGGTAAAATGTATCCATGTTTAAGGTTTACGTAATTTTTGCATATTTAGGATCCCAAGATTAATCTTAAAATAAAAACTAAATTCATACGAGTAAATTTTACAAATGATTAGAGAATTTGTCTTTGTAAATGTGCAGCGCTGTTATAATTATTCTTTAACTTTAAATGAAAATAAACTGGCTTGACAATTCAGTCAGTTAATTCATTTAAATTAATTCACATGAGTGAAAATTCACTAGATCTCGAGTGACTCGACTGTCATTATATTTTCTGAGTAAAATTTCATGGGAAAAAATTCAGAAAGTAGATTAGAATTTTCGGTAGAGCTGAAATTTCAGAAGGCGCGGCAGAAGGGTATCGGAGCCGTCGAGTTTGACGAGGAGGTGTGCGGCAAGATATCTCCGATACAGCGGTTTTAAAACACACGGATCTCGCGATGTCTCGAAATTTCGATATGACGAACAAAAACGGCGTGGCGGCGGGCGACGGGCATTTTAAATTAAACGTCATCTTGATCGTGCTGTCGAGCGTGAGAAAACGATTCGTCAGGCGAGGCGAGGAGAAATCGTAAGCGCTAGCAAAAAGCAAACGCGAGCCTTGCCGCTGGAATTTGTACTTTTTCTACGTCTGCCCCACGAAAATCTCGATTCGATTCTCTCGCGACCAGCCGCGGGTACGAGAACCCCGGCCAACTAAATCCCAGAGGACCTTCACCTTTCCTCATACTGGCTTGGATTGTCCGTCGGGATGCCCGAATACCAATGCCTTTCCTAAACATGTCATTGCACCAATAAAATTATACGCGTGCATGCGCGTGAATGTTGTACATCAGTGATTAAGAAGAATAGATTACACATAGAAAAAAAAGACTTGTTGAATTAGCGTGACACAACAATACAACCAAATGCGTTTTAGTTGTAGAAAGAAGAATTTCTGGTTCCTGGAAATCAAATTCAATTCTTAAAACTAGAAGTTCTGTTTGCTTCAACCAAAAACGCGTTTAGTTGCGTCTTTGTTATGTTAATTCAGCTAAATTGTGCATACATTGAAATTATCGACGCAATAATAAAAAGCCAATGAAAACCGACACTGATTTTCATCGCTTTGTATTTATTGGAGATTTTATATAAAGTTATTAAAAAAAACAATATATATAACTTGCATATTATTTATTATTATATATTATATTATTTATTTTTTATTATATATATATATATATATATATATATATATATATATATATATATATATATATATATATAATAAAAAATACATGATAAAATCTAAAATATATTAAAATAATAATAAAATATAATAAAATATATTTAATATATATAACAAGAAAAAATATATAAGTTTTATTCAGTGTTCTCAATTTTATTCGATTTTTTTCGTATATCATTGCTTTTCTTTTCTCCGTGAATTCGAAATTGTTCTCCAGTGTACTTTTTTTCAGCACTGGGCCCAAAGCATCCGTTGACCGACGCGATCGTCGGTGAAGCTCGACGGAGCGAGCGGCGGCGGCGGCAACGGGGAGGGAGGAGAGTTAAGAAGACGGCGGCGATCATCAAAGAGGATTGTAATTAGTCGCGCATGTGCCGCGCGGCCAACCGGAGCACCGGACGCGGGAATTTCTGCTTTTTGCTCGCTATTTCTACCTCGAGTGCCACCCTGTGCCCCCACCGACGCGGTGAATCGTCTGTCAACAGTGCGCAAAATTCCAATCGACGAGCATATTAGCGAAAAACGCGAGAGCGAAATCTTTCAAAATATTCGCGGGACCAACACTTTCTCGAAGTCGCAGCTCTCTGGTTATCACGTAAAAAAGTTCTGTGCCGGATAAGCTTTCCAGCGGCCAAACTATTAGATTGTGTAGCAGCAAGTAATTTCGGAGCCTTAAAATTATTTGCTGAAGCAATTTCGAATTTTTTTCGGATAAAATAAAATGACTGCAGTCTCGTATCGTAATTTTATCAAACGATTTTGATCTGTATAGTCTTATGCAAATATTGTCTCTCAAATTATAGCGATTTACTGATACACAATTATTTTACCAGAAAGATCTAAAATTACTTATTACACACAATCCAATACATACAAAATTTATCTTTGACGATTCTCTTGGATCACCTGGCGTTTCTCCATACGTCGATTTAAATACAATATTAGCTCGCCCTTTCTTACTATCTCTCCCTTTCTCTCTATCTCTTTTTCTCTCTCGCTCTTTCCATAAAGCAAATTTATGAAAAATTACTCCCTTGGTTAAATTGCGCGCGCATACTGGGTGTTCCACCGCGCGTCAAATTCACGTGAGAGATGGGTTGCGGGGAACGAGTGTGGGGTGAGTAGTCGCGGGAAGAGGGAGGACAGGGAGAGAGAAACGGGATTGCATCGGCAGGCCAGAAGATACGTAAATGGCGCGAGGAGGTTTCTCATTACTCGGTAATAACCCGTAATAACGTAGATTTAATGCGCGGCTTCAAGTACAGGCTATAAGCAATCGTTCGCCGCCTTCGGCAGTTTTAATGAATTGCCCCCTTCCCTCCGTCCTCTGCGCTTCACTCC